AGGTTTTACCTACAAGGTATCTAACCTGAAAGATTCATAAAAATCAGTTCAAAGGTCTTTGAGAAATCGCGTGTCAAAAATCGAGCGGGAAAAAAAAATGGATAATAAAAAACAATAGAATAACAGTAGGGTCTTCCGAAGGAAGCGGAAGACCCTAATAATAATTCATCTTTACCAACAGAATCAGTAGAAGGTCTTCCGTTGGAAGCGGAAGACCTCAAGTATAAAGAAAGACTGAGGGAGATTTAATTTTGTGATCATGTCCATATATGAGAATCGTCTGGATATGTGAAACCTTAAAATTACATATCTATACTTAGATATATAATATATGAAAAACAAAAAACGTTAAAAGCAGTAAAAAGCATTTATATAGATACATGAAAAGTTAAATTATCTATGTGAGTAATATACAAACCTTTAACATAAAGACCTTAATGCAAGTCTGAACTCTAGCATAGCTATTTAATTAAACAGAGTCCTTGGTTTCAAATGTAGAGAAAAACACCAAAGAAATACAGAAACTGAAACGTAAGTTATCCATTTGCAAACTTAGAACAGAGTTTAACATCTTCATTCAGTTCTGAGAATTTTTGTTTTTGTTTTTGTTTTTTTTTAACATAAAATCGCCTTTATCAATCTTTTTATCTTTAATATTTATTATGTTTGTTCCACGTACATAGAGAATAATACATACCCCTTTCCATATCACATCCTGTATCAGTCCGAGACACCAATATCAGTCAGAGGGCTGATATTGTTCGATGGCTGATATAGGATGTGATGTGGAAAAGGGTTTGTTTTATTATATTTATTACATGCTTAGTAATAAAATACAGAACGCATTAAGTTGAGAAGAAAATAAGTAAATAATCATGCCTGGACTTCTTACATATATGTACATTGTCTATTGTCTCATAATATTTGGGTTTCTTTCTACTTCTATTTCAATGTACTGTAAACCAATTATTATACGCGTCATTTTTTATTCGCGACTGACCACCAGAGAACTTATCGGCGACGATTTATTTCCTCGAACGAGTGGTCAAATTTTTTTTTATTTCCACGAGTATTTTTTAATCAAATAAAAATTTCATATCCGCCCATAAACTAGGTAAAATTGTAGCGTGAGATCTGCTTACGCATTATTCAAGACATTATGTGCATTGCGTCAATTTAAAATCTTATATCCGCCCCTACAGTAGATAAAATGTTTGCCATGAGTATACTTCATACGCATTTTCACAACGCTCAAACGAAAATCGGGGGAAAATCTAGGAGATTAAAATTGATTTCAAACTCTCAATTGTAAAAGTGCCTCATACTAATTTGGTAATCGACGCTTTCTAAGATCTACACAGCCTAGGGGCAATTATAATAAATGGTTGGGACAGAGCAGGACTGGGCCATAATTAGCCGTAATTAACCACGCTATCTCTGACTCGTCTGTAATAATAAATGAACAATAATAACACAAGCTGAAATGATTATTGACATTTAAATCATTTTTAGACAAATAGTTTTAGATTTGCCATTCGTTTTTATTTTTTCTGAATGTTTGTAATTAAATTTCAACTGCTTCTTGTACACTAACAGTAAAGTTTCTCCGTGATTACATGTTGAACCGTCGGGATCGGTATTGAAAAAAGGGCAAATAACTCTAAATAAATCGTGATATGGGAATATAATGAACAACTGGTTCGCGACGATAAATATCAGCGAGCAGAGGTTACTCGCGGAACTCGCGGATATTTATCGCACGCGTATAATACTTAGTTTACAGTACTCGATCCGTAATTTGAAAAAAAGTTAAAATTAAGAGTATATGAACCCACAAAAAATTGTGTATGATTACAAGCTGTTTTTGTGGTTTAATTTACTAAGGGTGTGATATTGACGTCACAATAGCCGTATCAGTCCTGCAGGGCTGATACGGCTATTATGACGTCAGTCATATCGCCTATGCAAAAAACCTGTAATAATTACTAAGTGTGTAATAAATATTTTGATTTTGAGTTTATAAAGTATAAACAATATTTTCCTGCTATGTTTACTCTTAACAGATAAAATAGAAAACACGGGGTTTGAGAATTTTGGTAAGTTTAACCTTGATTATACTACTTTTAATATTTTTTTTTAAATAATCAACAAAGTAATATAATTCATTGTTCATTGTTTGATAAATTACCCGTTTCACTTTTCCATATAATATAATTGTATGCAAAATTGAGGTATATAACTTACATTTATTATCAATTCCCGAAAAATTTAACTGATTAGCAATAATAAAAACCTTGTTTTTCTTCCTAACATTTCTCTCATCTGCAATCAATTTCACTACTGGCCAAATGTTTTCTGTCTACTTTTCAATTTCTTTATAAATTCCTACAGTCTTTGACTATCGTCTTTCTCCTAAGAAAACGTTAAGTTGAATAGATGAGGTATTTGAAAATGTATATGCATGGCTCCATATCGCTATGATGATTCGTAATCATTTAATCAAAAATTCACGACATTGATAAGGTATTCATGCATGTAGTTGCTGATTTGTAAATTTTTGTTGATTTTACATGACATTATTCTCTGATAACAAAAAGTGAGCGTTTCACCTGAAAGATATTCAGCAAATACAATTTATCATTGAATAAAATGCTGACTGACGTTTTTCATACCAATTGTTAGTCCATTATTTATACACTGAATTGACCACGGATTTTTTTCCGTTATATCCTGATTATGACAACGAGCACACGGCGGGTGTGACCGGTCAGCAGGGGATGCTCACTCCTCCATGGCACCTCATCCCACCTCTGATGTTTTGGAGGTCCGTGTTTGCTCTGCTCTTATTTTGTATATTTGTTTAATGGACGTTGAGATTGAATACTGTTCGTTATTTCCATATCCTTCTTCATATGAATTGGTTTGTTACTCCACATGCTGTTTCTTAGTAAGAATTCAAATGTACCACAAGAAACATTATCTCTGTCGATATTTTGTTTCTTTATCAGATATGCACATCGGAGCGAAGATTGGTAAGACCTTATTCCTGATATATCCTTGTTATAAATAAACTAAGAAGTCTAAAAATTTGACAAAATTTAGGTAGATAATTATTTGATGTTTGGATTTCAAGCCAATTTAAAGATATTTCTCGATCTTTTGCAGATACAACAAAAACTGCTTTAGAAAATCAAGAACTAAGAATAAGGGATGTGTTTGTTCAAACACGCGCAATTAAAAGAATATTAGAACTTTTAGAGTCAAATAGGTACGTCCTTGTAAAAGGTAATCCGGGATCTGGGAAAACCACAATTGCCATGCACGTCTTAACACAGTTACAGAAGAAAGGGATGTTTCCTCTTCAGGTGTTCAATGTTGAGGAATTGTATGGATTAGTGTCCCCAGCTTCGAATGTCGCTCTTTTATTAGATAACTTATTTGGGGAGTTCTCACTTTCAGATGAGGTTGACAACTTTAAAGCTAAGTTACATTTGATTAAAGCAATGTGGAATTACGATAATTGTAAAGGAAACGTTTTCATTATAACGATCCGAAATGATATTTACAAAGAAGCAATCGATAGAATGAATGAAGAATCATTTTTAAGCCATTCGTCAATTGACATATCTAATGGGAATTTTCAAATGCAAAGTTCAGAAATAGTAGAAATGTTTACAAAGTACGGTCTTGATAAGTTAATATCATCAAATGCAATGCTGGGTGTTGTTAAACTAGGAAATTTACTCGGAATACCCCAATGTTGCAGCCTCTTAAAAAATAATCCAGTATTTTCAGAAGACCCTCAAGCTTTCTTAAAGGATCCAATTCTGAGCTTGGAGAATTATATAAAACAAAGGTTGGATCGAAAAGAAAGGAAAATGGCAGTTTTAGTTTATATTCTTCTTTGTGGAGGGAGTGTGGAAGAAAGCGTGATGAAAACACCATCAGACAGAACGCGGAAAGAAGAAGCACTGAAAATGTTAGGAGTCACAGAGTCTACCTTAAGGAATTTTCAAAGTTCTATCTTTCATTACTACGATTTTTTGATGGCTTATGACAACATTGAAAGAAAATATAAATTTAGTCATAGTTCAGTACAAGAGAGTTTATTTAAATGTTTGGTCAATTATTACCCGCAAGAAATTATCAAGAGTTGTGATTTTACCCTTCTAGAAAGGTTAACGACTTGGACTTGTAAGAAACTGAATTGGAATTCTGTAGTAATCGTCGATGATATTTTTCAAGACTTGATTGAACGTTTGCTAGAAATCCTGCAAGAAAAATCAGTTGCAGCATTTCAAACAATTTCCCGTCTTCACATATGGGAAGACGAGAAGTTCGTATGTAAATGCAAAAATGATCAAAATGTGTTGATTGGGCTAAAAGAAAATTCTGATAGTCGAGGGCAAACAATGATAGTTCATTTCTGTGTATCTGGTAACATTAGATGGGTTAAGTATCTTTTGTTTTCAGCTTCAGAAAAACAAAGATATCTGTCTTTAAATGAAGCATGTGCACACAACCAGAGAGAAATTGTTGACTTGTTACTATCTACTAATGTTAGGTATAATTTAAAAACCTGTTTTTACGCTGTGCAAAGTGGAAATTTAGATTTGCTTTATCTCTTCACTGATAATGTAGACCTTACAGAAAGAACTTTATCAAATCGTTTTGACTGGAATCATATAGAATGCAGTCTTTTACATGAGATTTGTTTTTGGGGGCAGAATCACTTCATTAAACCAGTTCTAGCACGGTACCCACAACTAATTGATATGCACGACAATCAAGGTGGAAGCGCTCTACATTTTGTTGCGTATGCAGGAGACAAAACAATCTTTCAAGAGTTAGTTCAAAGTGGTTGTGATCCGTATATAATAAATAATACCGGTTCAACTGTTCTTAGTTATGCTTGTCAAAACGGAAAACTAAAATTGGTCTGGTATATCTGTGAAAAGTATCCGGATTTGCTTTTGCCAGATTATAATGCCAAAACAGGTATGACTCCATTACACTGGACAGCTCAATCGGGAAATATAGAATTGTATAAATACTTGATAGAAAAAGGTGTAGTAGAGAAATTTCTGGACAGTAGAAGTACACCATTACATGAAGCTTTTAAGCTTGGAAGACTTAATATGTGTAAATACTTGGTCAATACTTTTCCTCATTCTCTGGATGTCAAAGACAATGATGGAGAGAATGTCTTACATGCTGCAGCCTGGGGAGGTAACATTGACTTATTCAAATTCCTAATGGAAAAAGGCTTCGATACCGAGACGAAAAGAAATGATGGGAAAACTGTGCTTCACCAGTGCTGTATGAACGGAAAACTAGACATGTGTAAGTACTTGGTCAACAATTATCCTCATTTACTTGATGTCAAAGACAATGATGGACAGAATGCCTTACATGATGCAGCCTGGGGAGGTAACATTGATTTACTCAAATTTCTGTTGGAGAAAGGCTTCGATATTAAGATCAAAAGAAATGATGGAGGAACTGTGTTTCACCTTTGCTGTATGAACGGAAAACTAGATATGTGTAAGTACTTGGTCAATACTTTTCCTCGTTTACTTGATGTCAAAGACAATGAAGGAGAGAATGCTTTACATGTTGCAGCGTTTAGTGGTGACATTGATTTATTTAAATTTCTATTGGAAAAAGGCTTCGATACTGAGACAAAAAGAAATGATGGAAAAACTGTGCTTCACCAGTGCTGTATGAACGGAAAACTAGATATGTGTAAGAACTTGGTCAACACGTATCCTCTTTTACTGGATGTCAAAGACAATAATGGAGAGAATGCCTTACATGATGCAGCCTGGGGAGGTAACATTGATTTACTCAAATTTCTGTTGGAGAAAGGCTTTGATACCGAGACAAAAAGAAATGATGGTAAAACCGTGCTTTACTTTTGCTGTATGAACAGAAAACTAGATATGTGTAAGTACTTGGTCAACAATTATCCTCATTTACTGGATGTCAAACACAATGATGGAGAGAATGCTTTACATGTTGCAGCGTTTAGTGGTGACATTGATTTATTTAAATTTCTATTGGAAAAAGGCTTCGATACTGAGACAAAAAGAAATGATGGAAAAACTGTGCTTCACCAGTGCTGTATGAACGGAAAACTAGAGATGTGTAAGTACTTGGTCAATACTTTTCCTCATTTACTTGATGTCAAAGACAATAATGGAGAGAATGCCTTACATGGTGCAGCCTGGGGAGGTAACATTGACTTATTCAATTTCCTGCTGGAGGAAGGCTTCGATATTGAAACAAAAAGAAATGATGGGAAAACTGTGCTTCACCTTTGCTGTATGAACGGAAAACTAGACATGTGTAAGTACTTGGTCAATACTTTTCCTCATTCACTTGATGTCAAAGACAATAGTGGAGGAAATGCCTTACATGGTGCAGCCTGGGGAGGTAACATTGATTTACTCAAATTTCTGTTGGAAAAACGCTTTGATATCGAAATTACAAGAAATGATGGAAAAACTGTGCTTCACCTATGCTGTATGAACGGAAAACTAGACATGAGTAAATATTTAGTCAAAACTTATCCTCATTTACCGGATGTCAAAGACAATGATGGAGCGAATGCCTTACATGATGCAGCCTGGGAAGGTTACATTGATTTACTCATTTTTCTGCTGGAGGAAGGCTTCGAAATCGAAACAAAAAGAAAAGATGGAGGAACTGTGCTTCACCAGTGCTGTTTGAACGGAAAACTAGATATGTGTAAGTACTTGGCCAATACTTTTCCTCATTTACTAGATGTCAAAAATAATAGTGGAGAGAATGCCTTACATGATGCAGCCTGGGGAGGTAACATTGACTTACTCAATTTTCTGCTGGAGGAAGGCTTCGATATTGAAACAAAAAGAAATGATGGGAAAACTGTGCTTCACCTATGCTGTATGAACGGAAAACTAGACATGAGTAAATATTTAGTCAATACTTATCCTCATTTACCGGATGTCAAAGATAATAATGGAGAGAATGCCTTACATGATGCAGCCTGGGCAGGTAACATTGATTTACTCAAATTTCTGTTGGAGAAAGGCTTCGATATTAAGATCAAAAGAAATGATGGAGGAACTGTGTTTCACCTTTGCTGTATGAACGGAAAACTAGATATGTGTAAGTACTTGGTCAATACTTATCCTCTTTTACTTGATGTCAAAGACAATAATGGAGAGAATGCCTTACATGGTGCAGCGTTTAGTGGTAACATTGATTTACTCAAATATCTATTGGAAAAAGGCTTCGATACCGAGACAATAACAAATGATGGGAAAACTGTGCTTCACCAGTGCTGTATGAACGGAAAACTAGAGATGTGTAAGTACTTGGTCAATACTTTTCCTCATTTACTAGATGTCAAAGATAATAATGGAGAGAATGCCTTACAAGCTGCTGCCTGGGGAGGTAACATTGACTTACTCAATTTTCTGCTGGAGGAAGGCTTCGATATTGAAACAAAAAGAAATGATGAGAAAACTGTGCTTCACCTATGCTGTATGAACGGAAAACTAGACATGAGTAAATATTTAGTCAATACTTATTCTCATTTAACGGATGTCAAAGATAATAATGGAGAGAATGCCTTACATGATGCAGCCTGGGCAGGTAACATTGATTTACTCAAATTTCTGTTGGAGAAAGGCTTCGATATTAAGATCAAAAGAAATGATGGAGGAACTGTGTTTCACCTTTGCTGTATGAACGGAAAACTAGATATGTGTAAGTACTTGGTCAATACTTATCCTCATTTACTTGATGTCAAAGACAATAATGGAGAGAATGCCTTACATGGTGCAGCGTTTAGTGGTAACATTGATTTACTCAAATATCTATTGGAAAAAGGCTTCGATACCGAGACAATAACAAATGATGGGAAAACTGTGCTTCACCAGTGCTGTATGAACGGAAAACTAGAGATGTGTAAGTACTTGGTCAATACTTTTCCTCATTTACTAGATGTCAAAGATAATAATGGAGAGAATGCCTTACAAGCTGCTGCCTGGGGAGGTAACATTGACTTACTCAATTTTCTGCTGGAGGAAGGCTTCGATATTGAAACAAAAAGAAATGATGAGAAAACTGTGCTTCACCTATGCTGTATGAACGGAAAACTAGACATGAGTAAATATTTAGTCAATACTTATCCTCATTTACCGGATGTCAAAGATAATAATGGAGAGAATGCCTTACATGATGCAGCCTGGGGAGGTAACATTGATTTACTCAAATTTCTATTGGAGAAAGGCTTTGATATTAAAATCAAAAGAAATGATGGAGGAACTGTGTTTCACCTTTGCTGTATGAGCGGAAAACTAGATATGTGTAAGTACTTGGTCAATACTTTTCCTCATTTTCTGGATTTCAAAGACAATAATGGAGAGAATGCTTTACATGGTGCAGCCTTTGAAGGAAACATTGATTTACTAAAATTTCTACTGGGGGAAGGCTTCGATATCGAAACAAAAAGAAATGATGGGAAAACTGTGCTTCACCTTAGCTGTATGAACGGAAAACTAGAGATGTGTAAGTACTTGGTCAATACTTTTCCTCATTTACGTGATGTCAAAGACAATAATGGAGAGAATGCCTTACATATTGCAGGGTTTAGTGGTAACATTGATTTACTCAAATATCTATTGGAAAAAGGCTTCGATACCGAGACAATAAGAAATGATGGGAAAACTGTGCTTCACCAGTGCTGTATGAACGGAAAACTAGAGATGTGTAAGTACTTGGTCAATACTTATCCTCATTTACTAGATGTCAAAGACAATAATGGAGAGAATGCCTTACATGGTGCGGCCTGGGGAGGTAACATTGATTTACTCAATTTTCTGTTGGAGAAAGGCTTCGATATTGAAACAAAAAGAAGTGATGGGAAAACTGTGCTTCACTTTTGCTGTATGAACGGAAAACTAGATATGTGTAAGTACTTGTTCAACAATTATCCTCATTTACTTGATGTCACAGATAATTATGGACAGAATGCCTTACATGATGCAGCCTGGGGAGGTAACATTGATTTACTCAAATTTCTGTTGGAGAAAGGTTTTGATGTCAAAACCAAAAGAAATGATGGAAAAACTGTGCTTCACCTATGCTGTATGAACGGAAAACTAGACATTAGTAAATATTTAGTTAATACTTATCCTCATTTTCTGGATGTCAAAGACAATAATGGAGAGAATGCCTTACATGATGCAGCCTGGGGAGGTAACATTGATTTACTCATTTTTCTGCTGGAAGAAGGCTTCGATATCGAAACAAAAAGAAATGATGGAGGAACTGTGTTTCACCTTTGCTGTATGAATGGAAATCTAGATATGTGTAAGTACTTGGTGAATACTTATCCTCAGTTACTTGATGTCACAGATAATTATGGAATGAATGCCCTACATAATGCAGCGCTAGGAGGTTACATAGATTTACTCAAATTTCTGTTGGGGAAAGGTTTTGATATTGAGATAAAAAGAAATGATAGGGGAACCGTGCTTCACCTATGCTGTATGAACGGAAAACTAGATATATGTAAGTACTTGGTCAATACTTATCCTCAATTACTAGACGTCACAAACAATTATGGAGAAAATGCCTTACATGCTGCAGCCTATGGGGGTAACATTGACTTACTCAAATTTTTGTTGGAGAAAGGCTTCGATATCGAAACAAAAAGAAATGATGGGAGGACTGTGCTTCACCTATGCTGTATAAATGGAAGATTAGATATGTGTAAGTACTTGGTCAGTACTTATCCTCAGTTACTAGACGTTACAAACAATTATGGAGAAAATGCAATAAATGCTGCAGCCTATGGAAGTAACATTGATTTACTCAATTTTCTGGTGGAAAAAGGCCTCAAAATCATTACCAAAAGAAATGATGGGAAAACTGTGCTTCAGTAATGTTTTATGACCGGAAAACTAGATATATATAACCACTTAGATAACGCTTATCCTCGTCTACTAGATGTCATTGGCAGTTCCAGTACCCGTGAAACTACTTACTCTAGTGTTGCAAATAATCTGGAAAGTTCTGTTTCTGTATAACAGCGAGGACAGAAAAGAAAACAAATGTGTAACGAAAAAATCTTTTCAGATACGAAATTTTAGGACATGTCATTTGAAGTTCGATTGTTAGTTCAATATAGAACATGTATAAATTCTGCTGTGATGATAACAACTACATGTTGTTGGAAACGGTTATTTAGTATTTTTTTTATTTCGATGTTATTTGATATGAAAGGATAGCAAAAGGAAAACTGTTAATAATTATTTTGGTTGGTTGATTGATTGTTTAACGTCCCTCTCGGGATTTTTTCACTCATATGGAGACGCCATTACTTGCTGGTGGAGAGCTACAAATTTTAACCTATACTCGGCACTCAGGGTCATTGAGCAGTGAGGGATCTTTTACCTCCAGCGAAGTAAAGATCAACTCCTTACTCTGCGACGATTTTTTTGGATGTGAGTCACTAAAACATCTTGATCTAACCTTATCACCTTCGTATTTCATTTTCTTTGCAAACATTCGTTTTTCGTTATAGTTTTTGTTTTTCATGCATGGTCGTCCTTTCTTTTCCTCCAAAGATACATTTTAAACTTTGTATTTTTTTCCTATTTGTTAAAATACATTTGTAATCTCTTTTTTATTTCTTTTGTTACCGATGTCAATATTTACTAGGAAGACAGGGTGTCTTTATTTTGTTCTAAACATTGTTAGTATGTGTCCTTTTTTTATATTAAATCTTGTATTTAAGTTTTTCCCTTTTTTAAAGCATAAAGGTTTTGTTTAAACAAATGTTCACTGCTCTTAATAGAGAAACAATGACATCTTACGAACGAATGTTACCAAAAACGGGGATCAGTCATTGTAGTCTATTGTATTCAGAGTTGGATTATTTAATTCTTCACGGTTGGGGATAAGTCCCCCCCCCCTAGTGAAGCGATAAATAAACAACGTTAAACCGGTATTATAGAAAACTTAGCTACTGTATACTTGTGCCCACTCAATAAAAAAATCTTTCATTTTGGCTTCCAAGAAATTTTTTAGTGTGACTCTAAACTTTTGCCCCCCCCCCCCCAACTGATATTGCTTGCTTCAGGCCTGTTACATTTATATAAAATAAAAGCAGCCCAAGATAATTTAGTTAAGATCGCCATTTAATACATCATCTAAGAAGATATTGTCTACCATGAATTCGAATGCTCGTTTATTTTTAAAAAAAATTAAAAAAGAATCTTTCTCTCTCTCTCTCTCTCTCTCTCTCTCTCTCAACAACACATTTTATAAAGCGCACTACCTATTTACTTGATTGCACGGATTTATTTTCTTTTTCAAACTATAAAAAGTAACCTTTCCCCATATGAACAAGACGCACACTACGAGTAGTACAGGTCGCGGTAGCCTAGTGGTAGAGCGTTCGCTTCGTGATCGGGAGGCCCGGTTTCGATTCTCGTTCGCGGCGCCGCGTCATACCTAAGACGTAAACAAAGGTAGCGAATTTTCCTTCGCCAAGCGCTCGGCACTAGAAGTGAAAGTCACGGGTCTATTGGATATGACCTTAAAAACGTAGGTCCCGTGTTACGATAGGCGCTGTCACGATAAAGAACCCTCACTGCTCTATGGCCCTGAGTGCCGAGTATAGGTCTAAATTTGAAGCCCTTCACCGGCCAGCATTCGGTGACGTCTCCTTATGAGTGAAAAATTCTCAAGAGGGACGTTAAACAATATACAATCAATCAATCAATCACTACGAGTAGTATGACTTTGGATTGTATACGTTTTATCACTGACGCATGACAAACGTGTTTCTTAATCCGTCTATAGTATTATCGTGTATTTTCTTCTATTTGTTTCGCTTTTTTTTAAACATTGTAAGTAATTACAAATAAATTGACATGAGCAATTTTCAAATACAAAGTGGTTAAAACACTATTCTATTTCACACATATACTTATTTCTTCCTAGTTTAAACTTTATATGGGTACAATCACTGGTCCCGAGAAAACTATCGAGATACGGGAATTTAAGTTAGGGAGAGTTACGTTCGTTCATAAGATGTCGGTGTTTCTCTAATATATCATATTTCTTGACTTTTCCCTCAATTTATCAATAAACAGTTTTAATGAATGAGGTGTTAAATTTTGAGGCTTAAGTTGACAGTTGTTTGTATTACAGAGAATCCTATTATTTATTTACAAGGTCAATGAACTACATTATTAATGAAAGTAAGAATCGAGTTCTAGGAATGTGACTGTCATTGTCACAGGCGGTAAGAAACTTTACAAAGTGACCAATACTTGTTATCAATAAACTGTTTTTTAAATGTCAGATTAACAAATAATGTTTATTTTCTTCAAGATACACATTTTATGGAAAAAGATGAGAACATGATAAGAACACAGTGGGGGTGTAAAGCTTTTTTTAGTTCTTTTAAATCGAATTCAAGAGGAGTTGCAATCTTATTTAATAACAATTGTGAAGTAAAAATATACAACGAGTTTAAGGATAATGGGGAAAATTATCTTATTTTAGATGTCATCATTGAATACATACCTTTTTTATTGATAAATATATACGGTCCAAATTGTGATAGACCCAATTTTTTTTTAAGTTTACTTAATACAATAGAGGAGATAAACAGTTCTCAAAACATTGTTATTGCAGGTGACTTCAATTTAATTTTTGATAAAGAGTTAGATTCAACAAATTACAAAAATTTAAATAATCCTAAATCACGACTTGAAGTTTTAAAACTTATGGATGCTCTAAACCTAAAGGATGTATATCGTGAAAGTAACCCAAACTTAAAAAGATTTACATGGAGACGAAAAAACCCAATTAAACAAGCTAGGCTTGACTTTTTCTTAATATCGGAATCTTTGTTTACCATGACTCCTTCTGTAACTTACGAGAATAGTTATCGTTCTGATCATTCACCAGTGGTGTTAAATTGTAAATTAAATGAGTTCATAAAAGGAAGAGGATTCTGGAAATTTAATAACTCTTTACTAACTGATAAGGAATTTGTTAAAAAGATAAAATATAAGATTGAAGAGGTCAAAGTTCAGTATGTCTGCCCTGTTTACAATATGGAAAGACTTAGTTGTCTAGGTAATGATGATATTCAATTTACTATTAGTGATCAACTTTTTCTTGATATTTTACTAATGGAGATAAGAGGAAAGTCAATCTCTTATTCCACTTACAAAAAGAAGGAAACAAATGAAAGAGAAAAACAATTAGAAAAAGAAATATTTGAATTAGAACAAAATTTAACAGAACAGTCAATAAATGAACTTTCAGAAAAACAAACAGAAATAGAAGAAATAAGAAAAAAAAGGTTTAAAGGACAATGTATCAGGTCAAAGGTTAAATGGATTGAGGAAGGAGAAAAACCACCAAAATACTTTATTAGTTTAGAATCAAGAAACTATGTCAGTAAGCAAATTCCAAAAATAGAAAGAGATGATGGATCATTTGTTTCTACTCAGAAAGATATTTTAGAGGAAACAAAGTCTTTTTATGAACGCTTATATAAAAAAAGGGAAAATGTTGAATCTGAAAATATTCATGAAAAATTAAAAACCTATAAAAATATTCCCGAGTTAAGTAAAGAAGAATCAAAAAGTCTTGAAGGTCCAGTGACAAATTCTGAAGTTTTTAATTTCCTAAAACAAATGAAAAATGAGAAGAGTCCGGGCCCCGATGGATTTACTTGCGAGTTTTTCAAATTCTTTTGGAAAGATATAGGTTCTTTTATTACAAGAGCAATAAACAATTCTTATGATCTAACACATTTTACAGAGTCAAATAAACTTGGAATTATAACTTGTATTCCAAAATCAGGAAAACCAAAACAGTTTTTAAAAAACTGGCGGCCAATTAGTCTACTAAATGTTGTTTATAAAATAGCTTCAGGTTGTATTGCTGAACGAATGAAAACAAAATTAGATAAATTAATCAATAGAGATCAAACTGGATTTATAAAAGGAAGATTCATAGGGGAGAATATTAGATTAATATACGATTTGATGCATTATACAGAATTAAACCAAGTACCTGGTTTTCTAATGCTTATAGACTTTGAAAAAGCATTTGATACAATTTCATGGAAATTTATATATCAAACATTGGACTTTTTCAACTTTGGGCCCTCCATTAAAAAATGGATTGAGACTTTCTACAGTGGTATTAAATCATGTGTAATACAAAATGGTATTATCTCAGACTATATATTTCCTCAAAGAGGCTGTAGACAGGGCGACCCAATTTCACCATATCTCTTTTTGTTATGTGCAGAAATACTTGGAATTCTTATTCGAAATAATAAAGACATTAAAGGCATAACAATCGAAGGCGAAGAATATAAACTTTCACAATATGCTGATGATACATCCCTTATTTCAGATGGTTCACCTACCTCAATGGATGGTATTCTAAGAGAACTCGATTATTTTGCAAATATTTCCGGTTTAAAAATTAACTTCTTAAAAACAAAAATGGTTTGGATTGGAAGTAAGAAATATTCCAAGGAAGTTTTTCACCATTCTCGATGGAAGCTTGATTGGGATAATTCAAACTTTGATTTGCTAGGAATAAAATTTTCAGTTAATCTGGAGGAAATGCTTGAATTAAATTACATGTCAAAATTAAATGATATTAAAAAACTCCTATGTAGTTGGAGTATGAGGAAACTTACCCCAATTGGTAGATTAACAGTAATTAAAACTCTTATAATACCAAAACTAAATCATCTGATTCTTACACTACCAAATCCTACACCTGAATTTCTAAAAATGTTTGAGACAGAGTTGTTTCTTTTTTTATGGAATAGTAAAATACATAAAATAAAGAAAAATGTTATAATTCAGGACTATAAATATGGAGGGCTGAAAATGGT